AGTACGGCGTGCCGTCATACACGTTGCCCTTCACCACAAACCAGCAGCACTTTTCGTTGTCGTGCTTCTTGACCTTCTCCATGCTAATGCCAGAAAGCCACTCATCGGTGGACTGCACCAGCTTGCCTGCCTTGGTGCCTTTGAATTCCCGGGCATCTTGACTGGAAGGGTTGGCAGCGCTGACTGAGTCTATCTTGGCACCCTTCCACACTGCTGCAACAGGGCGTAGAGGCGCTACTCCATTTTTGCCCGGTGTGGCCTCAACCGCAAAGTTCTCGTTGAATTGGCCTGCTTGATCAGTCATCCAACCACCAGGCATGGAACCCTGGGTTGGATGTTCGAACCAAAGCATGTTGTTCTCACGGTGAATCTTGATGCGGTAAATGGGGTTGTTCAACATGCCCATCACAGTCCATGTCAGCTGCACAGGCTGGCAGTTCTGATTGGAATCCCAGGCACGGCAGCAAATCTCTTCGCAACTGCTGTCCAAAAGCCGGCTCATGTCGACCTCAGTCTCCCACCAGGCCCAACACCAGTGCTTGTCAGTGCCACGGGCTTCGGCAATTTCATCTTCTGGCCTTGAAAGCTCTGTGATCTCCCAAGACTTCCCTGAGTCCAAAGAGATCTCTGCACGGATGATCTTGTGGCCTCCGCCAGTGTATGCGTATCCTGAAACCTTCAGAGTCTTGGGCAAGCTCACTTCTTTAACGAAAGAGTTGTGCCGCGGCTCAAACATGGCGGAGTTGATGTTCATATGGTTGATGATGTACTCGGGTTTGTACCACCACCCTTCCGCATATGCAAGGTCGGCGTCCACGTGGGGTGGGAGCACACGATTGTCGAAGTAGTGGTAATGGTTTTCCGAAGGTTTGTCTGATACCTTCATTTGAACAGAACTGACAGGAGTCCGATCTTCAATGGTTTTGAAAATGGTGTGATTTCTCACCTGCTTAAATCAAAGTCAGATAGTTTGCTTTGCAGAAGGTAGACAAGCGTCAATTACGACCCTCTGCAATTGAAATGTCAGAGCATAAAAAGACTCAGCACCAACCACAGCCCAGTTTGTTCTCACCCATGTTTCATACCATATCCTAAGTCATGCCCCAGAAAAGGTACAAAAATGCAGTACCCAAGGATACACAAACCTAGAAACTAGAATCCCATTCCTATGTCACCAGTTACAAGTACTTTGCAGAGAGCACTCAAAAGTGCAGACGAGCAGCCCACATGCTGCTGAGCCACTTGATCATGCGACCACCAATGCAGCCAGGCAAGAGCGTGCGCAAAGGAAAGCCATGGTCTGGTGTCAGCAGCTCTCCATTTTGCTTGAAAGCCAGCAGCACATCTCGCTCTCTGTCAAGAGCCCAGCCCAAGTCAATGGAAGTTCCGTAGGAGCCTGTTTTGCCTTGAGGCAACTCACCCAACGGACCTTCGAAATGAACAAAGCGATGCTCTTTGGAAGGGCGAGTGATGCCCACAGCCGCCAGCAAGTCACAGAGTCGCACTCCTGTCCAAACTGAGTTTCCAACCGCTCCGGCACCCCAGTCGAAGCCGACCGTCTTCTTGGTCATGTTCTGCTCCTTCCGACGGTTGCCAGCACAAATGAAGGTCACAGGGATTGATACAATGGTGCCCCACTCTCCAGACGCGATCTGCTCCATGCTGAGGTTCACTGGTTTTGGCACCCCACTGATTTGCAACTGATGCTCAGACCAGGAAAGCTGTGGCACGGCACCATGGTTCCGCACCACGTACAAAGAAGGAGGTGTGATCCAACCTGCCTCCTGCAAGCGCTTCAGGGGTGGTTCCGAGTTGAATGGATGTGCGCCAGTGTTTCGCAGCATATCTGGGTGCCTCTTGATCCATTTGTCTGGCGTGTTGGCATCCCTTCCATCAACCTCGGAGGCATCCTGGCGCGGAGGCATTTCGAGGCTGGTGTCCCATAAAGATGTAGAAAGCGCAATCTTGCCATCCACAATCTTTCCATCTCTGATGGGCTCGATCTCTGCCATTGCAGACACTGAAACAGGCCTAGAGGCTTTGACAGCGAACCTACCTTGAGGAGAAAATCCAGGAATCAAAAGCTGCCAGGTCACAAAAGTGGAACAAGCCAAGAAAAGCCAGGTCACAAGGCTTTTCTTGGTCATTTTGAGAATGGTGCAGCTCACAGGCCTCAATCAAACCCCGTAGCTGATGAGTCACAAGATATTACATATGTCTGATATCACCCAGCCTATTTGAGGCTAAAATCGAACTGCACTTTTTGGAGTCCGATAATGTCGATCCCGAGGAGAACTAAGAACTCTGATTTTTCATGAAACCGACCAGTTCGCCTAGTTCTACC